TGACTGTCTTGTACACTCTTTCTTCTATATTACGCAGCCTTTCCTGTTTATCTGAGCAGCTTATTCCTCCAGATGGTGAGTTGTGTTACTGTGAGTTAGTATATAATGCCAGCAGGGAAGGTAAGGTATGATTTCATAGACATTTAACATGCTCTGTGGTGCCAGACACGCTGGTTTCAGCATCCGACCTTTAGCTAGGTCCCAGCTGGATAATGCGCCACTGTCTCAGCATCATATATTCTTTAACTGCCCGTAGATCCATAAATCTCAATGCACTACATACCCTGCAGGAATCACTGAATAAAGATGGGTAGCTATAACCATTTAAAGTTAAATCATTTGTTTTGGGTTTATGTTGTCAAGTGAATGGGCCTCATTTTCCCACATGGTGGATATCACCCAAGAAGAACAAACTATTTACAGACAGCAGGGAACCGTCATCTTTTGTTAGGTTTCCTTATACGGTAGCTTTACTCTTTTCCCTTGGTATAAAACAAAGGACTTATATGTTACTCAGGGGGATGCTGTTTTTTCTTTTAATTTGATTCAATTTTGTTGTATTGAACAGCAGACACATTTGCAATAAGGTATTTCTGACAGCTTGCTGACAGGAGGAATTTGGACACTTTATTTTTGAGAGACAAAAAACAATATAGCATCTATACTTCAGTCAGCGTTTGGTTTATTAAGTTTGAATTCAAATTAATGGTCATGGAGAAGCATGCCTTACTGACTGAAGATGCTGCTGTGAAGGGATCACAAAGTTCTAAGAGGACCATTTCAGTTACAATACGCCTTATTGTAGCTTTCGGCCAGCCACAGTAGTTTGAATTCTGACATTTTTGGACCAGAGTAACAAAAATACTAATACTAATACTACTAATAATGTATGTGTATTTCTTTAACAGAAGGATGCCTTCTATCTCCACTTACACACAAACCTAGCCTGCCTAGTGTATTTCCCTCCTGGCTTTCCAATTTAAATGCAAATGTTCCCAAATCGGACTCCACAAAGGCGCAGAGGCAAAATCATTTGACGCAGATGAATTATATATTTTAATTAAGCAGCCAAAAGAATCACGCCTATTCAGCCCTTTCCCCTCCAATAAGAAATGAATAAATAAATATGGAATAAGAATGGAAAACGGAGGGTATAAATGGGTGAGTCAGGGTAGGTAGGAATGGAGAAATGAAGGCATGAGAGTTTGTACCGAGTTTGCGTGATTGCAGCTCTAACCGCCCGTGGGTTGTCATTATGTGAACGATCTGAAGCTGTCAGATTTCAAAACTGTATTGTTTTCTGATAGACGGGCTAAATACCCCCACGGTTTCAAGCATAGACACACATATTGGAGCATTTGAACCCACATAGTCTTAAATGCATGCAAACACCCAGGCACACAAACGTCATTTGGATTTTGATGAGCAAACCAGCACTTAGAAAATAAAGAGCAGAGATGGGGATTGTGATGATGTGACAGGGGATGCAATTTTAATTTCACCCCCTGTCATTCTCCTCAATATCTGTTCAGATGAAATACATATGAGCTGCCAATCACTCATATATACTAACAGAAACTCCAGTGCAGGGGCACAAACACACAATCTCTCAATCATATCTTTGCATGCAAACTTTCAGTCACTATTTTAATCTTTGGCTGGCGCACACAAACACACACACACACACACACACACACACACACACACACACACACACACACGTACATAACGAAAAACATAAATGCAAAGTCGATACTGTTAATTAAAAAATTGTAGTGCAACAGGTGACTCAACAGAAGGTTGTTAAAATCTTAAAACCAAACATGCAGCCATCACAGATAAAATGAAAATAACTATACAGACTTTCTTCCATTTTTACTGTACCATTTAAGCAGTCTCAGCTCAGCTGTGTAAAGACAAGAAAAACCCCCAAAATACGTAGTTGGAGCAATTAAAACTGGTACGATGATGGCTAAATAGCAAACTGAGTGTGCATTGTTTGCATTTTTGCCACAGGGGTTGGTATACTCTTTGAGAGTTGTCCCATTAAATTTTTTTTCACAATATAATATATTTCTATATAAAAGAACACCATTTTAAATTGCAACAAAGTAAAGGAAAAAAATGCATTTTGAATTCCATGTATTTAAAGACATAAGTGGATTGATTTCCGTAAGTGGAAAACTGATATTTTCTTCAGGAAAAATCACATTTTGTCCTTTTTATTGTGATTTGAGTGAATAAAGGACAGCATTTTATATTATTCCCCTTAATTTCTCAGTAGTGCGGTCCCAGATACAGTTTTCTACCAGTCTCCACTAGTTATTGTGTTATTATGGATATTTGTTAGCAACGGATATGCTTGGGCTGTCTGGGCAATAGGAGTTGGGGGTGATGCGGGGCGTGGCAGCAGAATTTATAACTGCATCATTGGTTTTATCTCTCACACTGTGCATAGCCTCTGTCTGGGTAACAAACCACAAGAACAACAACACCTGTGCAAACATCTAATTCGGAGCGCTAATACTTGCAGCTCTCTGCCAATCACAGAACAGTGTAGAAAAGAGTACGATTTCTGCTTGCATAGCTATGCTACACAGCTATAGATTTGTCATTCACTCTTTTTCTTTTTTTTTGTTCTAAAACATTATGAACAACAAGTACTTCTAGCCCCATGTCACTAAATTAGCAACTGTCAGCTGAGCTGAAGCGTGATGATTACTTCTTTGGGACTGATGTCAGGCACCCAAGCTAACATGGTATACATTTTCATACAGAGAGGGAAAAATAGCTACCTACTAAATTGAATGGTTGTCTGAATACTCAGTTATTTGTGTCCCAGCTTTAGTTTGGTCATTCATAAAAGAAAATAAAAAAAACATTCCCTAGAGTTTTCAGTGTCTGATTGTTTTAGTGTGATTGTAAAAGCTTTTCCATGTTCTTGAGCATAACTCTGCAGTAGTTGCAGATGTATTTTCCCGTTTGTGAGATGCTTAAACATGGAGTAGTGGTGTTCATGTTCAACCCTAACAAAGAGAGACAAGACAAGTGAAGGGTATGATATAAGGAGGGAGAAGAAGAGATGCATACTGAAAAGAGAGAAGACCGAGTGATTTAGGAGAGGGGAAAAAAGGGATTGAAGTAAAGAAGCAGAAAAGAGAATCAAGTAAAGGGAAGAAAGAAGAGCTGAAGTCAAACAAAGAGGAAGATGTAATGGGATATGACACAGGTTTTTAACAGCTGGAGTCTCGCATCAAAAGAACAAGGAAATTCACTTTCCTTTCTCTGCCTCTATTTGGAGTGCTTACTGTGTTCTTCTCATGCAGACACACACACCTTACTCACCACAGGTCTCAGCAGCAAGCGGACCCTTAGACAACCCCTGTCTGTATGAGAGCCAAGTATTTCTCCTCACATAACAGAGGAAAGGAGACAGAGAAACAGCCCAGGCACCGGAGAGTAGATGGAGAGTGAAGAGAGAGGCCACTTTTTAATGGGAGGATCTAGGTTCAAGCCCCATTGTTGGCAAGGCTCCACCAAGCTCAACTTTTCTTGTACAAGATTGTGCATTCATAGAAGCTGCTGCGGGGTAGCTCTGTTGTAGCTGACCCTGGCCTCTGACCTTGCAACTTTCTGCAGATGAGGGGGCACTAGCATCTCATCAGCGGACAAATGATCATATACTGGAACCTTCGCAAATAAGTTGTGTGGAGCAGGGAAATTATTTTACTGCTATTGTTAAATAATCATCATCATTACCATTGCATTAATAATATAATCTGCAGCATTGATATTGTATTCAGAGGTTTAAACAGTGTGTGTGTCTTTCAGAAAGACTAAGTTGCAGGCAGGAGTTGACAGGAAGTTGCAGAGAGTTTGCAGAAGTGAAAGCAGAGTCTAAGTTATTCTGAGGAGCAGGTTAGACGAGGCTATTTGAATTACTAGGTTATTCAAATTGTCTGTTATACTTTTATATTCTTTTATTAAGCTTGTACTCTTCTTCCTCAATTATGTGAACCTTAACAGTTGGTAAAAACAAATGTAGACATTATAAAGGGGAGTCACTCATAGTACTTGTAGAACGACACCATGCATACCGTAACCCCTGAGTTGACCTAGCAGAAAGAAAAACCATACTTGAATCTGGCAACATGACTTATTGCCTGAGATCTACTCGATTGATCAAACCACTGTGGTTTGCAAAAAAGACCTTGCACAACTACCCCTAAAATCCTACATTGTTCTTTTTAGAGGAGCCCGCTACCTTAGCCAGCTGCTGTAAAATAACCATAACTCCCCTTTTATAACCACAATTTGTCATTTTTACAATGTTTTTGCAAGAATGAATGAAACCTATTTATTTTAAGAGAGCACTGAGACTGTTATTTTGGGAACAGAAAATGCATGAAACTTAAAGACCAAAGCATTGAAAGTATTAGAAAGCAAAAGATGTGTGCAACTTAAAACCTCTTTCATCTCACCTCACTTTCAACTGGTAAAACTTACGTAAGACGAAGGGGTGCCCGTGAATTATTGTTGTTTTAGACGAGAGCTCTGCGTTTGTTTATGGTGTGCTATACCTTTAAGAGCTGCTGGCCATAGCCCATCCCAGAGAGGATGGACCCATTAGACTGATGAACACAACGAGAGACAGAAGGAGAGAGATGCACATGAAGAAAAAGAGAGTAAGGTTACACAGTGAAAATGATATCAGCAGATGAGAGGAGTAAAGAAAGGAAATAAAGGAGTGGGAAAGAAACAGGAGGACACGAAAAAAAAACAAACCCAAAACCACTTCAGCAACAGCAATACTGAAGGGAGATAGACACTGAGAGAGACAGAGAGAAGAGAGGAAGCAGCTATCTCTCCATCTCTTACATCTCTTACATTGTAGGCGTCTATGGGTCTGTCAGTCAATCAGGACGACAGGCGGATACACTCACTAGCCGGCTCTTTGGCTCTTGCACGCACTGATAACTTTGCTGTGTATGTGTCTACAGATGGCAAACCTTGTGACATCGTTGTGCTGTGTAGTTCTGGCTGCAGTGGTGGTAGCCTATCCTCGCAATGGTGAGTATGCATTTCCTTTTCTTGATTTGCTCCTCCATTTCTGTTCTAAGGCCTGCTCTGCCTCTCCTTTATGCTCAGAAAGTTTGACAGTTTTTCTTCTTCTCCCTGTTAACTTTACTGTCTTCTACACCCTCGGCTCCCTGCATTGTTTCTATTTCTCTGCTCATGAAGTCGTTTTAAAGATTGCAGTATGTTTATGGATTTGAGCTGTGTGTCATTTGGCCACTCGGTCTGAGGTCAAAGGTGCAACAGTCTAAGACAAATGAACCTTTGAGAGAAAGCTTATCAAATCATCTTGTTACCCCATGTTATGTGGTGCTATGTGGTGCTAAGGCTTACTCATAAACAAATGTTGGTTCAACAAAGTAGGTAGCCAGCTCAACTGATGATCATGAGCACTCGTGCACTGAAGTTGTGAGGGAGAAAGGGAAATTGGAAAGTAGATAATGCAGTGACTGCTCTTTTGAGACTTCACCCAAGATTCAGGACTGTAAATTAGACCATGTGTTTAAATGGGTGGGTGTGTGCATGCGCATGTTTGTGTGTGTGTGTGTTTAAAGGAAGTAAACGAGTCACTTCAATTCTAGAGAAGAGTGGCATTGCCTTATTAGCCAATGAGATTGGACTGTTTAACTCAGATGACCCAGAGGAAGAGTCTAAGGAAGTCAATGACGCACATCACTCTGTCACGAGGGTCTCTTATACACACACATACACATATACACACACACACACACAAGCAGAGCAGACATGGCAGATTTATATATAAATCTGCGAAGTAGAAAAATGGAAGCTTCTCAGGGTAAAATGAAGGAAGAAAAAAGTAAGAGGAAGACATCAAAACTACAGAAAGCAAACACAAGGAGACCTATGGAGAAAAATAACAGTGAATGCTTGTTTTCTTGCTTATCTTCTTCACTTAATATGTTTTAAGGATGTTTTTCAGTGGAAAATGTGGCTGTATTTTAGAAATCATGCTTTTCCACTTAAATTTCTTGCGTTGTTCTAAAAAGTTGAACAAAAGTAAGACAAAGGCAGCAAGAAAAGTAATTACAGAATATGTGAAAACAAACGGCATACAGGAATAGCACACATGAAAAGAGGAAGAAATTAGTAACAAATAGTTCTGCCTAGGGGAGAAAAAAACTTCTATCCATTTGTGGGTGTATGTTAGCACTCTAGTGCTTGTGGATTGTCTGTTTTTTGTGCTCCATAGCTCGGCAATCTTATACTGTGTAACACACAAATGCCTATATGGTCTGTGTAAACGAATCACAACACATATCCGTAACCAAGTAACAAAAGCGGTAGGATGATGAGTAATATCAAAATTTGCACTCCACATTCTATCTCAATACATGTCATACACACACACACACACACACACACACACACACACACACACACACACACA